ATAAAAAATCGACGATCTATTTTGATTTTTATAAGTTATAGCATGTGACAATTAGCATCACGTGGTTTCGGGTCCCACCTTTGTTAGCATATAAATTTATTATAACGACGCACCCTAACTGGGGAAACATTGATTATCTCGGCCAAAATTTATATTTACATATTAGTAGTCAAATTTTTCAAATTTTGGGGTATTTCGTAAATTCGCCGCAATGGCAAAATGCATCTGCTTTTGTAGCACTATAACCAGCTTGTCACTGAAATTTTTTTTATTAATAATAAGTTAAGAAAAAGCTAATTTAATCTTTTTTAACTAAATTTTAAAAAGAAAATTAGAAAAGTTGAAGATTTTTAACCTTGATGATAAGCCACAAGTTTTTAAAAAAAACTTTTGTTGATTTTGACACTCATTGATTTATTTATTCAGATCTAAAGTGTGAATTTTTCAAAAAAAAATTGATAAGTTTAAAAAAATAATAAACAATTATTAAGTAAAAATAAAGTGAAAGATTTACTAACCAGGTTTTTATTAAGATTTGCAGCTAAACAAATGTTGTAGTAATTTATATAAATATATACTATAATATAATGTGATTAATTACAAAAATAATTAATAAAAAATATACAGTAGTAATAAAAACTTACTACAAATATCATATACAACATCAATACGTATAAACAAATAATATATAATTTATTTATAAAAACTTTTCAAAACTATAAATCTAGATCTTTAAATTAAAACTTTGATTTTTAAAAACCAACTACAAAAAACTAAGTTCAAAAACAAAGTTATAAATTCTAAACCTATTTTCTTTATTCATTTTGGGTAATCATAACAAATATTATTAAAATTAAGATACTAGATACATTTTATATGCTGTTTTAAATAATGCACGCCACAGATATTATATAAACTATATAGAATAGTAACAAAAAACATATATACATATACTATTTTAATACGTAAAAATTAAAAATAATTAATCATTTCCAACATTCGACCCTTCTTCTAACAACATCTCTTGCTTCTTTTGGTGGAAGATGATAAACACATAAATTTTCAAGCATTTTATGTATTTCCGAAATTTCTAGATCATCATCAAATAAAACACGCATAACTTGACTCAATGTTTTTTGTTGTACAGAGTTGTTTTGTTTAACAACAGATGTAGTTTGATGAGATGAAGGAATAGTAAGCAGGACGCAGGCATCTTTTAATCTAAATAAAGAGAAAATATAAGTAATTATGGAATTTTCAATAAAAATAAAAAAAAAACTTTTCAATTATATCTGTTCGAATTAACCTATGAATTCATACCTTCTAAAATAATTTTCTGGTTTCTGAACCCATCTTTTTCCAACCGTGAATAAACCTTTAATCATATCTACTTCAAATTGCCTACCACCCATTTCAGAAAATTGATTTCTCATCAATATTCGATTCCATAAATAATCTTCTATTTCTTTAGAAATTTCTTTGTATATAGATTTAAATACTCTTGAGGGTAAATGGTTTGATAGAAACGTGAGAGAATGTGCCAAATCTGACAATGGAGTATAAAGCTCCGGTGATAATTCTATTTCTATATTAATGTTATTATCTTTTGAAGATTCAGATGATTCTTCTCGTTTATACAAAGGTTGGTGAGATATTATTGTAGGATCAACGTTGTATATGTCTGATCGTGACCAATTATTTCTGAATAAAAATAATTTTAAATAATGAAGGTGGTTCGTTTTTAGTAATTTAAAATTTCGAATTTGATAATGAAGAAAACTTACTTTCTGTAATATGCTTTTAGCCCATTAAAGAATCCTTTGGACACGTTTTTTATTATTAATGACTGGATCTTTTCACAAGAGCTATCAAACAATCCTGCAGGATCATCAAAGACAGTTCCCTCATCAACAGTGATCTGTTCTTGATGTACGGAAGATGTCTCTTGTAGTTGATCAGAACTCTCAGATGAAGTAGGTGATGGTAAAGGTGAAGTAGCAGTATTACGAGCCGCACGTACAGTAACTTCATGCCATAACTCAAGAAAAAACTACAAATTCATCAAATGAATTAATACAATGAATTATGAATATATAGATGCATGTATATATTTATATATATATATAAATGTGTAAACAAACAGGAATATTTAAAAAATTCTTACAGCATCTTCACCCCACTCTTTAATTGTCCGACTAACAAAGCCAGCACTATTAAGCCATCGACATAATCTTTTTAAATCTTCGATACCTGTATGTGATTTCCCATCTGTATTCGCAGAATTTGGAACAGATCTTACAAAAGAATAACTTAAACTTTTTTCAAAAGCATCCACAGCAGAATCAATTCTTCGAGCATATTCCATTAGCAAATCAGCTTGGATATCAGCAAAAAAACGAATACGATTATGAAACATGGGTAACAATTTATAGCGACCTATTATTAATTATCATTATTAGTTTCAAATATTTAGAGTTACTAAATATATAAATAATAATAAAATTATTCGTACTTGTAATTAGCTCCAAAAGATTAATTAATTTTCCAGATGATTTAGTTGGTCTAAAGTCATCTTCTGAGATATCCTCATCTATTAATTCCCACGCATCTTCCGAATGCATTATCTCATCATAACGCGCTTCTGCAACTAATTTTTACATAAAATGTTATATAAAAAATAATATAAAAATGTAGAATTTTAAAAAGTGACATACATTCTTTTTCAACTTTTAACCAAGCTTTAAATGTTTCTTTTTTTCCAGTAAAAACTTCAACACATCCTTTCCATTCATTCTGACCCGGTGGAATATACATATGTAATTCACGAAGTGTTTGATCAAATTGTAAAGTTTCGAAAACTGTATGAGAAAATACTTGAGAGAATTTCAATAATTCTGGTACACTTTGAGCCAATTTTTTTGTTACACCAACAAGTAAGCATCGTATAAAATCATTCTATTTTGCATTTATGTTATTGATATAACAATTAATAGATTAATAATTGCAAAGATAGTGGTTATTTGATTTTTTTCTAAAAAAATGAAAACCTTTGCGTGATATTCTTGAAAACCAGCTTCGTCTACTATAGCTTGTATGGCGCCTTGTAAGAATGGCGAATGCTCATGTATTGTGGTGAGAACGTGAGAGAAATACCATTCAGGCTAAAATAAAATAAAAATTATTTCATTTAATAATTTATAATTCATAATAAGTATCTGATAAATTGAAATTTATAAGATAAAAAAAAAACTACATATATATAATAAACAAGTTTTTAAAAAAATTTAGATATTTTTTTGATTTACCTTATCTATGCGACTAGTAGGTCTTTTCGAATCAAAATGATAACGGAATCGTACAATCAAAGGTTCAACCATTATTTGAATGGGTAAAAGAGGGGGAAGTTCATCATCATTTTTTTCAATAGATGAAGAAGATTTTGTAGAGGTTGACTCATCGGAAATAATTATTGGTCTTTGTAATAAAAGTAATTCAGTAAAAGCTTTTTTAAATGATGATAACTTGTCAGTTGTAACTTGTGGATAAGGAAGTTTTATAGGCGTTGGCCAACTAAGTGCATCTAGGGATTGTTGAAATTTCCTAGTCGAATGTAAATTTAGAAATGAATGAAATAATTATAAGTTTTACATAAAATATAAATGAGATAAATATATTATATATGTGAAATAAAAATTATTAACAAACTTTTTTAATTTATTTTTCATGTCTTCCCAAAGTACATCCACACTTTGTTGTAAAAACACATCCAAATGAGTGACCACATGTCCAGCATCCCTACTTTTAGATTTTACGCTATGCAAAAGATTCGTGAGTTGAATATATGGATTAAGAGCTTTATGAGGAGATCTTTCAATTAAATGTTTTGTCTGCGCGCTTCAAAAAATTTGGAAGCCTTAATAAAAAATTAAATAGTTTAAAATTAGCAAACAGGTCAGGTAACCGGGAAGTACCTCAATTCTTCAGCGACAACTAACACTTTTAGGTACTGTTTTGATCTTTCTAAACTATCAACCTGTTGTTGCAGCATGATTAACTCATCCATTAGCGTCTTATTATCAGAAAAGTTATCTTGTAAATTTGAAGGATTGGAAGTCACGGTATTACAATGATCAGCTAATACATCTCCAAGTTCTAGACGTGTAGCCTGAAAATCCTCAAGGTCAGTGACAGTAGAATTGAAAGCTTGAAGAGATTGCTTAAGTATTTCAGAAGTTTTAGACTGCGTTTCAATACACTATAAAAGAAAAAAAAAACAGAATTTGTTAGATAATTGCGAAAATTCATTAAAAGATTTGATAAAACACACTTTTTCATTAAATTTTTGTTCGTTACTCTTCACTTCGGATAATACAGTATTCAACTTTCCCAGATCTTCCAGTTCATTAAAACGAGAATTGAGAAAATCGACAACATGAATTGCGATTGAACTTTCATCGGGTTCTTTAACAAGCGATTCAAGCTCTGACGCCATTCCTACAGGGAAAGGCATAATTCAGTAGCGTTTCTGGTATTTATCGATTATCATTATCCCTTCCCTTGCAACGCTTTCGCTATTGATTGGCTGATGTAAATCAATTGCAGAATTGCCTGGGGTAGCTTATTTCCCGAACTACTTATGCCAAAAATTCTGATTTTGAAGCATTTTTTAATAGATCAAAAATGTAACTTTACTGTCATGCTGCCACTGGGGATTTTCTTAGCTTACTTAAAAAAATTTCACTAATAAAAAAAATCACATACTGTAATTGATAGCTTTAAATGAGTGTCAACGTTCCTATGCAAAATGACTACGATGTGAATCGATTAAATAATCACGTGTGTAAAGTACGGAAATGCAAAAGTTACGTTTTTGGTAGATCTGTGGTTACTTTTTTGGTAGGTCTGATTTACCCCCCTAAATTGAGGTGGCGTTCTTGATGCATCATATTTACATAAAATTTAATTTTTTCAAAGGTTTAAGCAAAGAT